GCCGTCTACCACTATGAGGCCTACGACGTCGACCCCCACTATACTTAGCCAAACAAATGGCCGTGAGATAAACGAAAATCACCCAACAGCAAATGTGACCATAACCAACCGCAATACAAGTGGGGGTCAACGTTATAGAACGTGGGGGAGTGGAAAGGCATATGTGGGACACGTGGCACAGTTAATCGTGGAGCAGGGGGGATTGCCATCAAGTACCTATAAATACCCCAATGTGTGGAAAGGTATTTTTTCTTCTGAGAACTCGAACTTATTGAATGCTCATATACTCTCTGTTTACTCCCTAAAACCAACTACTGATTCTCACGCCGGAGGTACAACGGGGGACAAAGCCGCGACCTCATTTTGCAGGTAACATTCGTTGATTTGAGCAACCGGAATACCCCACACGTCATCATCATCGTGGAGGTAAATTTTGTGATTATTTCAGTTCTGAATTCTGGTAGATCGTTATCTTGCATTTTTCTTTTCCATTTACTCTTCTGGAGCACAACGAATTGAGTCAAAATATACAGTCTCTTGCATCGTTCTTCTGTTAATAACAGAAGAAACGAAGTTCTTATTTACTGAAATCCGCCAGGCATTTTTTATACCTTATTTTCATCTGTATCCATGTAGTTGATAGATCTATAATGTGTCTACTATAGTGTTTTAGGACATAATATTTGGTGCCTACTCCATGTTTAATGCCATACTTTCTAGGGGCTCTTGTTCTCTCGTCTCAAGGCTACTAACATTTAAACAGTGAATATTAATCATTACGAGCTCAAAAAAAATCAGCTTAGAATGAGCATAAATCTCGAGCATCTTTGACTAAGCTTAAAAAGGATCACTTATAAGTAAATTGCTTATTTTTAAGAAGGGAGTCCAATCCATGAGTGAATTACACGAAGACTGGATTGAAATTGTTGAAAGCAACATGACCAAATAAGAAGTTGCATCTCTGAAAAGCATACACAGACCTAATTTTGTTCATATAGGAACGTGAGATCTCTCAAACATAGATTTCTCACACTTCCTTTTTATTTGATTTCGAGCAAGTTATCTTCATGGGTCCATTGCCAGCCGTCATATTAGGCCATTTTTCTTGAATATCATATTAGATCCTTCTAATTTCATTGTTTTGAAGGTATTATCTTAACGAGTATACCAGCTCTTCAGTTCCTCCACAAAATTGTGGCAAGGATTGGATTCCTACCACGAGCTTAGAGTTGCTATCTCAACAGATTTCAACTTTAGAATGACAAACATGAATTTGAAACACTCTCAGGTCTCACTGGAGCCGTGCAAATACTCTAACGTGCAAGCACAAATATACATGCACATACGGAGAGATTCTTGAAAACATTTTTTCTTCCTTCGATAAAATTCCAGTTTACATCGGATACAAATAAGCACGTAAATTGTGTATTATATATGTAACTCCATCAATGGAAGAAAAATCAGTTTTGTTAGCAGAAAACTAGAAATGGCACCACCATATCTGAAATGGGACAAGGTCATTTTTCTGGTGGGCTCTGGCCTTAGAGGCTGACACCCGGACCTAGGTGTCCTTCAAGTGCTCATAACAGCTTGAAATTATGGTATGATATTGCTTATCACCACCGAACAATCAAATGAAAGCAAGAAAAGAAATGAAGTTTGTATAATCATCATACAAAAAGCAAACTCAAGAACTATACATAAGAAGATTTCTATAACAAATAAATTTCTTATACTTGTAAACAAATTGCCAATACATCTAGCTCCCAATATTGACAAACTAGGGAGGAATATCCCTAACACTCTTCTGCAAGAGAAAGCGGCATCATTTTCACCCTCAAACAGAGAAGCCAGCCATCTACGAGTGTACAAGAACATTTTTTCTACGCTGCATATGAACGTGCAAAGTTTCATCTCGATCAAGAATCAATAAAAATATAGAACAAATAAACATGTGAGGAGAGGAAGAGCTGATCTAAACTAAATGCCCCTATTGACATCCTTAATTACCGCGGCCAATGAACTTGATGAACTTCAACTGCAATATCACATCCTCCTATTCAAAAATTTGTGCAGAATTATGTAAAGATATTTGAATGAGGATATTAACTTTGGCTGCTATTTCCTTGTTCCATATCCACATTTCTAGGACTCCAAGGATTAAACCTTATATTACCACTCATAAGCCTTTTCAACGACCTCAAACGCGAAGGGGCAGGCGATTTCTCGTCTTCCTCTTCGTTAACCTGTCTTGGAATGTCAATGACAAGCATTCCGTCTGGTCTATTACTTGTCGAGGCTGATGATGACGAACAAGGGGGCCGAGAGGAAGCAGCAGTAACAGTACCTTGATGGCTATCCTCCAAACAAGGTCCAAAAGTACTAACTTGAGTCTCACTTCCAAAAAACAACACATTGGCGGGAAAATTTGGTCGCTGGCCTGGATTTTCTTCAACGGGGATTACAGTCTCTTCGGGACTACTAGAATTCGACGAGGATTCATTCTGATTCGAAATAGGGTCTCGACAGAGTGGACAAGTGGAATGAGATTGAAACCACATATCAATACAATCCATATGAAACCCATGATTGCATTTTGGCAAAAGCCTGGTTTTTTCACCTTGAGAGACCTCAGAAAGACACACTGAACATTCCAATCCATCTTTGAACTCCTTAGGATCAAATATAACTACAGGTATGGTTTTGAGGATAGTGGGATCAAGACCGTGGCGCAGAGCTGTGACGGCTCTTACTTGGTGGCGCCCCCCTGTGATGGTGTTCTCATGGCGGCGGTTCCAGTACCATTTGGCATAAAGGTGGGCACAAACGACACAGACCACCACAAAGACGAGTAGTATGATTGTCACCATTATGGTCTTCCCTGTAGCTTCAATCACACTCGAGTCGCCCAAATTCTGACTAATACTCGGTGAATCACTCATTTTAGTTTTTGTGCGATTTTAACAGTGAATGACAAAAAATGGGAACTTTCGGTGCTTAGATTTTGGATTTAAACAAAATCCTGGTTTTATAGACAAAACCCAGATGAGATTCCTCTGAATGAATTCCTTAAAAAAATCTGTTTTCTTGAAATTTTAAGCAGAACCCACTTGGGATGTTTCTTGTCCAAGTAAAAACACGAAAAAAAAAGTGCTTATGAGAGAAACAGAAAAGGAATAATGTGAGTTCTTCTAAAAGAATAATGAATACGGATGTTTATATTGGCAGAATTTCAAGAAAATTCGACGTGGAGATGAAGAATATGACGATGACTGGAAAGAGCCGTCAACGGGGAATGGGTTGCGTGAAAAACGAATTGACACGGCGGCGTTTGACTGGGTAGACGGAGAAAAGTCCAAACTGATCAACTACTCATCGCCTTTAGTTGAAAGCTTTTGCTTGGGTTAAATCCAATGATCATATAACTTTATATTTTATATCTAATTTGATTTTATTTGAACGTGACCACCCAACTATATATATATATATAAGCTTTTATTTTAATTTGGTTTAAATTTTATTTTATATATATAATACAAAGTTACTATTTTTACCCCTTTTAAAATTAATGAAAATGGTAAAAAGAAGTTGAATTGTCATGGTGAAATGTTATATCAAATTGGGTAGTCATAGTGAAACGTTCTATGAAACTGAATGGTTTTGGTGAAATAAAATCAAATTGAATGACCTGATGATACTAAATATAAAGTTGAGTGGCCTGGTGAAACAAAATTAAATTGAATGACCATGGTAACACTAAGTGGGTGTTTGATGGGAATTAAAATTAGATTTTTAATAAATTGTGATAGAAGTTCTGAAAAGTAGCGAAATCCATGAAAAATGTGGTTAATATTGATTGTTTGACTTTGTTTCAAATTAAAATCTAATTTTAATCTGAAACAAACATCTTCTAAGTATAAAGTTGAGTGGCACTAATGAATTTAGCCCATTTTGCTTTGGTTTCAACTATTGATACTGCTTTGAAGGTTCGGGGGAATCTAGCAATAAATAGCCATTAGTTAGGTAGGTATGAGAAATCAAACAGAAATGGGACGGGAGAAGGGAGACAAATCTAGAAGCTTTCTTGAATTCACAAATGAGTAAGGAATACTTTAAAAAAGAAGAGTCAAATTGTAGCGACCCGAATTTTAAAATGCAAATTTTATAACTTAAATCATGTCGCTACGACGTTTTCGTCAAATTTAGAATTTATTTTACGTCCGTCGAGTTGTTTAGCAAAAACATTTAATATAACAATTCAAAAACGATCTTTAATCTTAAAAATTCAATATTTTCTTATTGGGTCGAATTTTACATCCAATATCTATTTTAAATTACTCTGGGTCCAATATTCTTCAGTGGCCCAAGTCCATTAACAGCCCAATCAATTATCCAAACTCTGGAGTATATGTTTGTAGGGCTCAATACTATCAAAACCTAAAAACATTCATTCCACCTCCAATATCACTCTCACGGCTGAAACCTTCACTAGGAATCAAGACATTCATCTCAAGGTAAATTTCTTCGACATTGGAACAATTATTTTCCTTAATTCCATCATCATCATCTTCTAATCTATTAACCCACTGCAACAGTTCATCCGTTCTTCCAATTCCACGTTGCAAATTCAAAGCAGTAACTCACTCTCTAAAAATCGGTGCAGGTAACTTCTTCGAAATTAATTTTCAGCTTCTTTGGAATTCTATAATCACCATTCTTTTCAATATATATGTATATATTTATATATATATATAAAGAGGAAGTCGAAAACGAAAACCCTAGATTTAATATCGTAAGTTAAGTTTGGAAGTGATCTGCGACTCCATTATCTTGCTCTTGCCATTAGCCTTCATTTCTCCGACCTCAATTTTAACTGAAAACCATTAATATGTAAAATCCAATTTGGAATTTTCGTTGGATTTGAAATTGGCCTTGAGGGACGTGAAAATAGGATTGGGGATGGGGGTTTGGTTATAAATAGGGGAATTTCATTTTTAAATCCTCAACTTTGGCCAAAAGTTTAAGTTAGTCCCCTATTTGATTTTTATTCTTTTACAATCCCTAAAGTTTATGTATTCTTCAAATTAAATATATAATATTTTCTAATTTTATCATATTGACCATAAACATTCTAATTTTGATAATGAGACCCCAAATATTTAAAAAATTATCAAATTACTCATTTTCTTTACTTTCAAAAAGTTCAATGAAGTCCCTAAAAGTTTAAAGTATTAATTAGGACTTAGTATCCTAAATTATATTAATTTTGTTCTTGCTAGACGAATTCGCGGGAAAAGTTTAAAGCAAAGTAACATCACATCAGTTCAATTTCAAGAAAATTTCCAAAACTTTGAGGTGGGGTTTATATTTAAGCAATTGTGATTATTTTTGTCCATGTTAATTCTTGATGTGTGATTTTGATTGTGATAAAATGCTTATACATATGAAAAGGTTGTTGGGACCGTAAATAGGTCCGGGATCGAAAGTGGGTCCATGGGGGTGTCCCACAGTGCAAATTGTTATGCGCTTATAACATGTTGTCGGGACCATAAATAGGTCCGGGATCGAAATTGGGTCCTTGAGGATGTCCCACAGTACATATTTCTACAGTATGTTGTATTAGTATTATATGCATAATTTAATTTCATGTTTAGATTTAACTTGGACTGTTTGCTATTTCCCCACTGAGTATAATTCGTTATGCTCACCCCAATATTTTTCACCATTTCAGGTTAAGGAGCTAGGCAAGGCAAGGCAATGAGTGGGGCAATCATGATTAAATAATAGACAATTTAATTTATAAATTTTGAAACTAGTATTTTAATAGCCGATTTTCATTTTTGTCTTAAATCTCAAATTTTAGTATTTTTGTAAATTGTGACACTTTACTTATTATATTTGTTATTGACTCTTGAATGAGTAAATTATTCAAATGATGTTCCGCATTTAATGTTAAATTGCTATAGTTTTGAAAAAAATAAATATTTACGCATTTTGGCGTTTATTGAGGAAAATTATTTACATGTATTTTAACTTAAGAAGCGCCTCGTGTTTATTGAAAATTTGGACGTTACACAAATGAATGAATTTAGGCGATAATGATTCAGAGAATTGAAATCTTTCCTTGTTTCATTTTGATATACGGGCTATGATTTTGATGTTCAAGCTCGACATGTTCCGTGCTCACAAATTGTTTTGAATTTTTGCGCACAACTTTTTGGCACTGCAGTTGAGTATTCTTGGCAAACATTTTTCATTTTTTTTATTTTCTTGCTTTAGTGTCAAGCCCCTTTCTAGTGTATATTAAAATTCGATTGTTAATAGATTTTGATAAAAAATGATGAAATTTTAGGGGTTGTCTGATAGCGATTATTTTCCTGATTTTGAGCAAATATATGACCGTTGCCAAAGAATTAAGCCGCATTAGTTGACCGGCCATCTCTGAAATGGGGTCATGTAACGGTCCATTTAGCAATTTTAATCTGGCCAAAATCAAAACCAGACAAGCCTAAGGATACTCAAAAGGATACTCTTTGGACAAGCGTCAACCCCCCTCACTCTTTCGCGCTTCACATTCTTCACTGCTCAATAGCTTTGCTTATGCAATGCAATCCATGTACATCTAAACAATTCCACGTTCAAGGAGAACGAGTACAGTGACTGCATGAAATCTACAGAAATAGTAGCACTCAGAAATTGTTGTGTGTTTTGGATTTTGACTGGATGAGCTTCCCCTGCCTTTATTAGGTCATAATAACGATACAGAAACGAAAAATAAAAAGAAAAACCCATCTTTTTTCCTCCCTAGCATTTTTTTTTTCGATGAAAAATTATCTGGTACTTATTTTTTGGAGTAAATTGTTTGAACAGTTACTGAACTTTAACATGGTCGCAACTTACTCACTGAACTTCAAATTGCCTCTTAGAGGCAATTTAAAGTTCAGTGAGTAAGTCGTGACCATGTTAAAGTTCAGTGAGTGTTCAAACAATTTACTCTATTTCTTGAGGGTGCTATGTGCCGTTTCAGAATTTTTTTTTTTTTTTTTTTGCAATGATGTGTTAGTTGTTAGTAGAAATTAAGGGCGTGTTCGGTAGAGATTAAAATCGGATTAAAATTAAAAAATTAACCGTTATTGTTGACTTTTATTAGACGAGTGAGACTCAATAACGACTATATTTTCAATTTTAATTGGATCTTAATATTTACCAAACAAGCACTAAATGTATTAGAGATGATATTTTCATCATAATAAGCAATTTTTGTAGGGCATTTGCAGTTGTGCCAGATTTCTTAACAATTATATTACACGTACTTCATCTTTTGCATCATTTTTTATATTGTGGGCTTATTAGTACAAAACGTCCATATGTTTGGTCATTAATATGCAAAACGTCTATACATTTAAATTTTTTGCATTTTCACCCCTATTTTCAAGTTTCATTGTGGAAAACGTTCTTTTTATCAATTTTTATCAAATTTCTCAATTAATCATTGTTAAATGACAAATATATCATCCTATTTAAATGAAATAAAAAGAAAAATAAAGAATAAATTGCAAACTACTCCCAATTTTTTTAAAAAGGTACAAATAAATCCCAAATATATTAGATTAAAAAGTCAAAAAAGAAAAAAAAAACATATCTTCTTCTTTTCCTCTCTGCCACGCCCCAACCTTTCCCCTCCATTGATTTTTTGGCCCAATTGATTTCTGAATCAGTTATTATTCAGAACCAAATTCTGAATTGTTGAGATCACGGGAGATATTTGGCCAAAAAGCCGGTTGTAGCTTAGATCAACGTTGGTAATTTTCACCTCATCTACAGGTTGAACCGGACCGGAAAAATCGGTTTCTTTGTAGTCCTCGGAGCTGGCCCAAAATCGCCGGAATCTCTCCGAATATCAAGTTTCGCCTGATTGCAAGAGACGTGAGGTTCTTCAACT